TATATATACTGTACTATCTGTGATATATCTATACAATTAACTGCTAAACAATGACATTTATATGGTTTATGCTTTCATCTGTGCTAAACAAAATTGTAATACATCCATGGTTGTGCAAGGAATTCCATGTGCTTGTGGTGTTCAGTAGACATGTTAACCCACTAAAAATTAGTTTTGTTTCTGATCTTTTTTTTTACATTTTCGTAATATTCGGATCCACTCGTTATTTGGAATAAATCAGAATTTTTGTTTTTTCATTTCAGACATTCATTCATTGAATTAATGAAAAAAATAGCATCGGGTCCCCCTAATTCATACCAGGCCCTGTAGGTCTGGTAGGAATTTTAACGTGGGACTCCATGCCAAAAAAACAAAAAGAAAGTGTGAGATCCTCCCTGAAATCCTTTAGCAGACTCTTGATCCGAGCAGCGGCCTGGCAGACCAGAAAAGGGGGGCCGGCGTGTGGAAATTCGGATGCATCTGAATGTTCGTATTCACGAAAATTCATCAGAATTTGCATTTGAGACAAAAGGAAATTTACATTTCTAGTGATCAGCCTGGGAAAGAAGGGAATCCTATCATGTGGTAACCAGGTTTAATGAAGGTTAAGGACATGGCAATTACATGAAGTGAACAAATGCACTTGAGTAACCGACACTGCATTAGGAAGTTACTTTTTTGGGTGTAAACATGTGTGTAAATTTGGAACTTGAAAACCCCTTGAACATCTCATAATGTACTTTCCATAAACAATGGACATGTGTTTTAATTGTGCACAATGATAATTCAGTATGTCTGTGCAAAGGCTTGCCTTATTACATATATACAACCTTATACGATAAAACACTGTGAAGAGTAATGATAATATGCAAAGCGAATTAACTGATATTTATCAGTCAGGTTTCAGACTACTTTAGCCAGACCAGTGAACTAATCATCCCCATGTTATGGGCTACTACACAATGCACATTGGGGGGAATTTATCAAAACTGGTGCAGAAGAATCTGGAGCAGTTGTCCATGGCAACCAATCAGCTTCTCTCTTAAGCTTGTTAAGTTAAGGATTGAAAATTAAAGGTGGATGCTAATTGGTGGCCATGCACAGCTGCTCCAGATTTTGTCTGCTCCCGTTTTTTATAAATTCCCCTCTCTGTATTTTCCCTTACTGAATACACAATATTGGGGGGAATTTTTCAAACCTGGAGCAAAAAGAAACTGGAGCAGTTGCCAATGGCAACCAATCAGCTTCTCTTTGTTTCTCAGCTTCAATTTGTTCAGTTAAGATTTGAAAATGAAAGAGAGAAGCCGATTGGTTGCCATGCACAGCTGCTCCAGATTTTGCCTGCTCCAATTTTGATAAAGCCCTCTCTCTGTGAATAAACATTTGCCATATGAATGTGTGTGCAATACTTTCCCACATAATTAAATTAATCAATTGAATCAATATTTCTCTATATGTAATACCACTATAACTCCACTAAGTAAAGTAGTAAAAATATTACTTACAGTGCTCAAGGTAAAAATGCTATTTTTAGTCCTACGTTTAGGGAAGTGCTGTGTCCAGTTTGCTAATAAATATGCCGTGTTAACTACTACAAGTTTAGTGTTATTGGATATTAACGTTTCAGATATGTTTTGAAAAGTACCTAAAGAAAATAAAAATATGTATGTTTTATTACAGTTTTTTATACTTGCCAACCTATAGCACTTTGATCAAATTAGAAAATGTAGGGTTGTAGGTAGAGATTATGCTGCTATTGGAACATGTAAATCATAATAAAACCTTTTGCTTCTCTTTCCAGGTTATCGCCTTAAAGTGAAACTGTTCCCAGACCATGTACACTTAAGTATATATATTATTTTAAACAAGCAAGTATATACATATCTTGGGCTGCAGCAGGTACGACAAACACGGCAAAGGAGCTTATGCAGCCCCCCTCCAATACAACATATCCTCCACATATTGTGTCCCTCCATACAGTTCATCTTCCATAGTGTCCCCTTTTACGGTGCATTTTCCCTATTATGTGCCTCCAATACGGTGTATTCCCCCATATCCTGTCCCCTCATAAAACGCCCTACAACATGGTCCCCATCCCCAACTGATCACATATCTGATAGTTTCAATCAATCACAAATCACAATTCAGTCCAGCAGAAGGAGATACCTTAGTTTGCCTCCACTTCTGTTCCTGGCTTCCCGCACCTCACTGCTGTGCTCTGATCACCCCTCCCCTCTCCTCCCTGCTGATCCCTGCTCACCTCTCCCCTCTCCTCCATGCTGATCCCTGCTCACCTCTCCCCTCTCCTCCATGCTGATCTCTGCTCATCCCTGCCCTCCCATCTCCTCCCTGAGCTCTTGGAGGCAGGCTATTGGAGAAATGTTTAAGTATAAGCAGCAAACTGTGTGATCAATCGTTTCTTTTGTAAATGTCGCTCCACAGCACTAACATAAGGGTGAACATTTCTCTTTTCAGTTAATTGTTTAAAAAAAAAAAAAATGTTGCTTTTAATATACACCCGAAAATGATGACAGTCTCTATAAGTATCCTGATAAGATTAAAAGTACCCTGAAGATTTATAAATAAGGCTTTAGTAAGTGATTAACAGGGCAATAAGGTTAGAGGGGGCAGCATTAATCCTTATGTTTATTTTTTTAGTACAGATTCAGTACATTGAAGTGACAGTATTATTTGGTTGTGAAGAAGAGGCCTAAAGAGTGATTAGGTACTATAGGAATAAGGAATTTTTAACTTTGAGCGCCCATCAATTGCACACACTGCTGAAACTTGGCCATTTGATGTAATAATGATTAAATAATGATGATGATTATGATAATAATAATAATAATTTTGCAGTAATAATGATAATACAGTATAATAATAATAATAATAATAATAATAATAAATTGCATTAGCAGAAAAGTATGTAAAAATACACATTTCATTTAGGCTTATGTAATGAGAAAGTGCAACAAGCAAGTATTGTGTGTAAAGTACAATAACCCTTAGCTGCAAATCTGATGTCATATAACTGTAGGCTCATAAGAGGCAAGTTCTATTTGGTTGCTATGTGTTACGAGACTTTGGTCATCACTCTTGCCTTTTGCATCTTATTTACTAAGATCCCTGTGTGTTCTCCATCTGTTATAAAAATGTGCTCTTTGTTTTAAAATACTCCAATACAACTTAGTGAAAAATTCAATTTACCTTCACTCTTATCTTTAAGCCAGCTATTAATGTGCTCCAATGCATGCCTTGGTGCATTTCTGAAGTCAGCTTTCTCTGGTTTAGTGTTGTACCACACATTAGATTTAGTCATAAAAGCCTTGGAATAGCAAATTAAACAGTAAATATGTTCAACAGCAAACATCACTACATGCTAACATTGTGTCGTATGTAAAAAAAGGTTTCTAGTGTATTCTACAAAGATAGGTTAGTTTATTGCATACTAGATTTATTATAAAGACTAAGGCATGCATATGTTTTCATTCAGTTATGAAAGCGGGGATATAGACTGAAAGAAAAGGCAAGCTTTGTTCACTATCTGACTATAAATCTTAAAACCACTAGGAAAATGTTAAAATCAAAACCTCCCTTTTCCCCCACTCCATTCGGTGCTCCCATGTTTTCCAGTGGAAGCACCTACAGCACCTGTAGTATTGCTTCCCTAATAACAGGCCCTGTTACCGCTGACCTTTATTGCATACCTGTTTATTTCTCCTGCCTACTCAGTAGTGGCGTATTCACCCCTCTTATTTTCATCCCTTTTACACTGATGGTCATTAAATAGCCATTCCAAATGAATAAACAACTATATTGGTGGCCAGTGGGAAAGACATGATTTTCAAACAAAACTCCTAATAATTTGTAGCCATTGAAACACTCCCGTTACTCCAGTTCCATGGTTACATTAGTGGTTGGAGAAGTGGTAGAGTTACATCAGGTAGGCACCCGAGCGACTCAGCCAAGCTGAACGCATATGCTTCGGCTAGGCTGAGCCGTAGTGACAGGCGAAGCGTGGAGAAAGGGAGCTGCCGGAGCTTTAGCTCAGCCGATACAGATGTTGGATCGGCTGAGTTGAACTCCTTCTGCACTTCGGCTCAGCCGAACATGCAGAGCATGTTCGGCTGACCAAAGGCCGCCGATATTTTAGCCGATTTTAGCCGATGTACGAAACTTAATATATGAAATTTAATGAATGAAAGGGGCAAGTCAGGGACTTTAAAGCTACAGAAGAAAGAGCTAGATGATGCTAGTTGCCTTCCAGCGAGGAAGTGAGGTAGGAATGGGATCTGTTGGTCTTGCTGCAGGTCCTAATGCACACTGTGAGAAGCTCACAGTGTGCATGGAAATCAGAGTAGGCATTTTCAGTACAGGAGAGGAGCCTGTACAACTGAGCAAGACTAAAGGCAAGACTGGAGATTAGCTTTAAATTAATTTAAGGTTAATATACATTCTTATTGGTCAGGTTGTTCTTTGCCTTTTTAAACAAGCTTGTAAAAATTAAATTAAGTTTACAATGTTACAGTAAAAAGTCTTACTTTAGATATTTTAGATGTTTCTTCAACAAATACCATATTCTCAATATCAAGTTTGTATTCATCATTCCCTTGTAGTGCTTGCATGAGGTGTTGAATTTGCATCACCTTTCAACATCTCGTGGAGTCACGAGGCGGCCCAACGAAGTACTGATGTAGATATAGATATAGATAATACGCATATTTTACTATCACTATTTCCCTACAGTACTTCCAGAGGAGAACCAAGTTGTCACTTCAAAGCTATGGAAAACGTGTGCACCACCGTTATGTGTGTACTGTCAATTACCTAGACGTGTGTTGGTCAGCTACTAGCTTTACAGTGTTTCCTTGTTGACGCGCACGACCTTGAGAATAATACTTAATACTCTTACAATAGCTGTCATATTGGGCGTGTCCTTTTGGCTGTCAAGTTAGAACCTTTGAAACCACATAGGTAAGTGTCCTCTTCACTATATTTAGATAGGTATATAGGAAATGATACAACTGAAGTGGGTAAAGAATTGGTTCTTCCAAGTCATTCCAGTGGTGGATAATTAATTTGCAAATTCTATGGGGTCTATTCACTAAGCTGCTGACAGCCGAGTGATTAACCGACCCGAAGTGAAGTGAGCTGAACACTGTTCGGCTATTTACTTCAGGCTTGTACGGCTCATTTCAGCCGTATATCAGCTGAAATCAGCCGTACATCAGGTGGCTCCGGGTCGGCCAAACATGCTCAGCATGTTCGGCCGACTCGAAGTGCAGAAGGAGTTCAACTCAGCCGATCCAACATCTGGATCGGCTAAGCCGAATCTCCGGCAGGATACTCACTGCTGTTCGGCCTATTCTCATAGATACCGAACAGCAGTGAATAAATAGCGGCATTCAGCTCAGCTATTCTGCCCGGTACCTCTGTGGTACCGAACAGAATAGAAAAATAGTTAAAAAAGTAGAAAAAAAATAGAAAACGATTGTGCGGAGCTAGCAGTGACAGCTAGCTCCGCCCAACTGTTTTCTATTGGCCGGGCGGTTCTGCTGCCGTCAAAAAAAACCACAACATGGGAATGCATAGCTAGATTCCTATTGGCTATTTCACTTTGCAATAGCCAATAGCAAACTAGCTATTGCACCCGCCCTCTGCTGCTGTCAATCACCAGAGTGGGACCTGATGGAGAACTGTAGTTCCCCCTCTGCTGATTGACAGCAGCAGCAGCAAATTGAAATAGCCAATAGGAATCTAGCAATGCATTCCTATGGTGATTTTATTATTCTGATGGTAGCTAACGGCTCTGATGTCAGAAGAAAGAAAAAAAACGAGCAGGGAAGGGTTTACTCTGCCCGATCGAGCATAGTGAGCCTTTCTGGGAAAAAGTGTTTCTCTCCCGGGCTACGGCTAGATCCTTCGGCAGCTCAGTGAATAGACCCCTATATAATCAAGGTTTTGGTGACCAGTATAGTCTGTGGTTGGAACTGAGATCCTCCAAAACAAGGCCCCCACTCCTCAAAAGCCTACTTAAAAGCCAGTTATTCATGATTACCAATGTGTTAATTATCTTCTGTGTTGTCTTACTTCTTGTTGTGTCTCTGGGACATAAAGTGAAGGGAAATATAGGATAAAGACAACCAAAAATAAATAAATAGAGGGGTTCTAACCATTTCCCTCTCCAACCAAAGCTTTAGGTATACTTTAACAGGTACCCAAAAATGTGTACTGCAACCTGCAAGCTGACGGTCCTGTAACAGCAACCAGATACAAATAGTTTCTTAACATATAATTGCAAAAAGGCCAAAGCAAATGGGGCAAATGATGAAAAAATACATGAGCATAGATTATCTTCAGTGAAAACTGCCATAATGATCATTAGATCTAGAGATGTAGGCATCTCTGCGTGGGCACATCTGTTAGTGTGTGTTGTTTTGTGTCACCAAAAGTTTCTGCTTACACATCAGAAAATATATTGCCATATTAATCATATTAATTTATTTTCTCTAGACCACTTACTAATGTAAAGGTTTAAACTAGGGATGTACTGATACTGATACTGGTTTCCGATACCAATACTGGGCACTTTCCGGTACAGATACTGAGCATTTTCCTGAACCGATACCAGGCATTACCATGAGTACTCGTGAAAATTCCCCAATACTAAATGCTGATACTGATACTTTAAATTTCTAAACTGAAGTGGCTGCCTGAGGTTCCGCGTTTGCTGGGGACCTCAGCAGCCTTCATGTGATCCACACGGTGCCTGTTTGCAGCGCTGGCCGCACATATCCTCCTTCCTTGGGAATTGTGCCACCCGCACCTGCCCGCGAGACCCTCCGGACCTCTGGTGAGATCCTGCACAGCTCTGGTGAAATACCACACAGCCCACCTGAGACCCTGCACAGCCCTAGTGCAGGTATAATTTTAGGAAAAATAATTTCAGGTCACCTGAGACCCCACACAGCCCTGGTGAAAGCTTTACAGCCTCCTAAGACCCTGCACAGTCCCCCTGAGACCACGCATTAAACAGTAAAAAAAAATTGAAACTAATCCCGCCGCCCTGCCATCTGGTTGCCCCTTATAATGGTGTGTTATTTGTAGAATCTAGTTAAAGATGCGATTGAGTTTGTTCCGCTGGTATATTTATTGTATCTCAGCAGAACTGTGACTTAGGGGTCTATTCACAAAGCTGCCGAAGGATCTGGCCGTAGCTTCGGCCGATCCTTCGGCTAGCTTCGGCCCCAGGACCCCTTCGGTTCAGGAGAACCGAGGGGGTGCTGTACGGGCTATTCACAATAGCCCGTACAGCTCCCGATCACAGCCGAGCGGCTCAGTCGAGCCGATCGCATATGCCTCGGCTTAGCCGTGCTGAAAGCCGAAGCTGGCCGAGCGGCCGGCCATTGGCCGGCCGACAGCCTGCTTCTGACAGCTGGGTGGAGCCAGCCGTGATCTTACGGCTGGCTCCGGCCACTTTCAGAGAGATCAGCGTCCCTGGTTGCTAACCAGGGACACTGATCTCCAAATAGCTGACTCTCCCTGGCACCCCGGGAGTCTCCTGCTCCCGGCCGCCAAGGAGAAAAACCCCGCTCTGTCTTTTTTCTTCCCATTCAAAAGCATTGGGAGTTTACTATTGGCTATTTCAATTTGCAATAGCCAATAGTAAACTAGCATTGTACCCGCCCTCTTTTGCAGTTCCCCATCAGGTCCATGAGCAGAGGGCGGGTACAATGCTAGTTTACTATTGGCTATTTCAATTTGCAATAGCCAATAGTAAACTAGCATTGTACCCGCCCTCTTTTGCAGTTCCCCATCAGGTCCATGAGCAGAGGGCGGGTACAATGCTAGTTTACTATTGGCTATTTCAATTTGCAATAGCCAATAGTAAACTAGCATTGTACCCGCCCTCTTTTGCAGTTCCCCATCAGGTCCATGAGCAGAGGGCGGGTACAATGCTAGTTTACTATTGGCTATTTCAATTTGCAATAGCCAATAGTAAACTCCCAATGCTTTTGAATGGGAAGAAAAAAGACAGAGCGGGGTTTTTCTCCTTGGCGGCCGGGAGCAGGAGACTCCCGGGGTGCCAGGGAGAGTCAGCTATTTGGAGATCAGTGTCCCTGGTTAGCAACCAGGGACGCTGATCTCTCTGAAAGTGGCCGGAGCCAGCCGTAAGATCACGGCTGGCTCCACCCAGCTGTCAGAAGCAGGCTGTCGGCCGGCCAATGGCCGGCCGCTCGGCCAGCTTCGGCTTTCAGCACGGCTAAGCCGAGGCATATGCGATCGGCTCGACTGAGCCGCTCGGCTGTGATCG